CTTCTGATCAAATTTGGCCGACATCAGAATGGAAATTCAAGGCCTTATCTCAAGGAACAGATCAAATCATGCAACATAAAATGATTAGTGGTAGATTACTTAGATACCTTTGTACATTTGTGAGTAGAAACACTGCTTGGTTGGGAGCTTGAATGAGAGTTTTCAAACTGTTTAAAACTATTATACCAACATTGATACTGATTACTTTTCTCTCAGTAAGGCAACTTATTATTGTTAGGTTTTTCATTTTTACAAAAAAAATAACATGGATGCATTGACATATGACTTGGTTTACATCACGGAAAGTCTGAGTGACCAATATCCAATATCTGGTAGCAATATTGGCCGCTGATGTGAAAAAAATAATAATTACAAGCCCTGTAGGGACAGATCAACCTAAATCTACCTTTTATTTGATCTTCACAGCTGCTATGGGCAAATGTCATTCTATAATGAGAACCACCACGCCACTACTACAAGTGTTGAAGTGAGTCAGCATCAGGTTATTGGATCCAATATTCCCCTGAAAGAAGAACAAGCCACTCAGGGGTGAATTCACAAAGAATGTTTTGCGCATTACTTGAAAATACTATCTGCCCCGTCTCAAGGTCTGATTCATAAACACTAGCATGCTAATGATTTTATAGCACAAACACGCCCATGTGCAATGTCCCCTTGTTTTGAAGAAGAACATATTCTAATTCTAACTACTTTAATGATCTAATAACTCTCCCCTGCTCTTTCCTTCATTTCTATCTGCGGGATGTCTCATTTGCTATGAATCACTCTATATGGACTGTTTTGTCAGAGTGATTTTGTTATTTTAGGAACTTATGTGTCACATTTCTGATCACTGAAAAGTCTGGGTGTGACACCCCTTATAAATGGGCTTTAGTTAACGCCAACTCCCCAAAGACGCTAATAATTTCACTCTGACTGCCTTTGACTATTACGCACCAGTTCAGGCTCATTTGCAATTTTGCTTCAGTTAGCTTGGCAGCGCAGTTTGGGGTGTTATGTCACCTTTGCGGATGCTCTGAGAATTACACAATTATTTTTTTTCTTCTTTGTGCAGGATTAGTGGCCGCAAAAGCCGTGCAAATCGTTTTATGAATTTACCCCTCAGAGTGCTGTTTCCATGGCACACTGAATGTACTTCCATGTGATTACACATCATAACAATAGGAGTTATATAGCACCAGTGAAAGATGCAAAAACAAAATAATCATTTCATAATTGTACTTGTACTTGGAAAGCCAAGTATCATCATTGTGAAACAGTGGAAAATGCAATTTATTGAGCTTTCACCAGCATCTGCTTTTTAAAACAGGTGTTTAAACACGTTAATGCCCTGACTTCTCTGTCTTTTAACAAATATATGTGCAGGCTGCAGGCAGGATACACATGGGACAGTCTTCCACTTCCCACAAAAGGAGCAAATTTTAGGACTTCTGTACCAAGTGGGCTTAAACAGGTGACAAAATGTACAAAATCAATAAAGGCAACCATTTCTAACCTGGATGTGGAGAATGTATTTTTCATGATGGTAATTTTTTCAAACATATAATGTGGACATGTGAAAGCACTGCTGTGCTTTACTCCACATACTGTACAAACATACTTTATTTGTACCATAATACATTATGCCTGATTCATCCCCTGTCATCATCACAACCACAAATCCAGACTTGGCCCTCAGCATAGTCAACAAACTGAGGGAAAACAATGTCACTGTCACTGACAACAAATAAAATACTTACAATGAATCATAGAGTCACCAGGATTTGGCAGAGTCTGTGTTTACTAGTGGGCATTTCGTTCCTTGGCAATGTCACGTCTAGCCCGGCATGCCATCTTGACTGCTGATTGAGCAGCAATCTGTCTACTTCAAATCAATGCATTTGTAACTTGACACACAGACTGTATGAAATATTAACACTGCCTTCCTAAAATGTCTGTCACAGTCATCTCTCACAGGTAAAAAAAAGAAATCAACTAACAATATCATAATCTTCATTAACAGGTGAAATCAAAATGCATCACACCCTTTATATAAATTCAGTCTCTCCATATCCTTGATCAAATTGTAGAAGTGTATATACTACTTATCATGCTTAAGCATGTCTATAAAATATTATTTTAGGAGCACTAGATAAGAAAAAGCAAATGCAAGTACTCTTTCAATGTATTTTTTTCCCCGTACATATGCAAATGTTTTTTTCTTTCTATCCATGATGTCTGTTCCTTAACTTAATTAGTAATTTCCATTATCTAGACTTTCCTTATATATTTCTGATTTTGTTCTCCTCCGGTCTTTGTATTTGTCTGTCACACTTGTCCATCGCACTTTCCTAGAAGTGTTCTTCACTACACTTGTTTTTCATCTGTTGATTCTGGCTTTATTGCCAAAACGCGTATTAGCTATGACAGACTATACAGTCATTGGAAAAGACTGACAGGGTTTTTGGATATTTTTTGTTTTTTACAAATGCACTGCAGAAAGTTTGGGGCGCATACGTGTATGTACATAGCCTTTGTGTATAAATAACTGTTTATGCCTTTTGTTTATTTTATTTTATTTATTTTAAACATAACCGTATTTAATTAAGTTTTCTGTTAAGTTCTGTGTGTGTGTAGCATGAAGGGACTTTCTTTTCGTTATACAGCCTTGTGTTGTATAATGACAAATAAATAACCTTGTAACCTTGTAAGTGTCATTAAGCTGTCATGAGCATCACCACTAGCCAATTTAGCAATTTCACTTCGCTAAGAAATATTTAAATTAAGTAATTAGCATAATTAAATAATTTCTATATAATTCAATAAGGAAGTAATTCATATTTCTGAACATTACTTGACTGATGCTATCCAATATTTTTACAAGTGGGATTCTCTTAAAGGACATTCTGGCAGATTTTCCACTGGGATTGTGCTGACAGGCAAACTGACCTGATGCACAAGAGGAGCTGGCAGATAGTGACCACGCAGCATACAGCCCCAGGGCTGCCCAGATGCCAGTATGTCCATGCTACAGTTACACATCAAAGAAAAGTAGGCTGAGACCAAAGACCAGGCCACAGTGGAGTTCACAGAGGCAATAGAGATTGATTGTGATGGTTTAAGAGAAGGGAATACAGAGAGACATGAAGATACAGGCACAAGAATCATCATCGAGTACTAGGATAGAGCTGCAGTCCCACAAACCGTTATTGTCATTATGTGCATTATTTTGTATGTCTGAAGAATTCCTTTTAAAAAAAAGAGCACAGTGGGTGTTTTCTGTTATCTGAAGAAATAAATTATCCTTTTGATTTATTCAAGAGATATGCATAAGTTATTGTTGGCCTCATACTTGGATAGTCTTTAAAAGCTCAGCCAACACTTTTTCCAAAGGCTGGACTGCTGAACACAGGGTCACTTTAGTAATACCTGCAAATATAAATGAAAATCTTAGAGTGGTCATATTGTATGATAAAAAATTTTACCACTAAGATGAATAACCATTTATGATAAATTCTTTATTGTGTAGCCACTATCCTGTCTGACTGGGATTGAGTAACAGGGCTAACACAGGCAGAAATTTACATGTAAGTCAATAAGATGAAGACATGGTTTAATAATAATTACTAGACCTTTTTGTATGCTAGAAGTACTCTTTGATTTGGCTCCGAAATGTTACATTGCATCTTAGTCTTTGAAATCTATGATTATCAGTGAGATGTGGCTTTTGAAACATGCTTGTTAAATTAATGTTTCTTTTTAAACATCGGTTGGAATTTGCTGGAGGTGTTGGCAGTCACTGACTTTTGGAATCAGATTTGAACAATCTCAAATTAATTAAAGTCTACATTAACCAGATAATAGGTTTCCTGACACTGTTATTTCTTTGTCTTTCCCCGCATGTGCCAACTGCCTGAACAGTCTGTGTTTGAAAACAACAATACTGCTGGAAAGAAGGTGACCTTTTAATATAATAAGTATAAACAAACACATTAGAATTTCAATCACTCACCTGCTATGCTAAATTATTTTTAGTTTAAAGGTCACATTTGTTTGTTTGCTAAAGATACAGACTGTGCGGTAAAAATGACCAGAAATGCAAATTTTTTTAGCAGGATGGGGAAACATTTCCTTTTAAATGTCTGGAAAGGAAAAACAATCCCATTAAGATTCCATCTGAATAATAAAACAACAAAAAAAACAGGGGTTACACATCACTTGAAGTATGGATATGGCAGGATATAGTGTAACTATGTCTTACTAAAATTATATTTATCGTTACAAAGTTTATAAAACAGCTTAATGTGTGTTTGTGTTAAGTACAGTAAGCCTTCAGTTTGTATTGGAAAGCAGTGCTCCCTGGGAACTGGAGGAACATAAACATCTACAGGAGGGAGACACAATTTTGCATTAACTGATTATTGCAATATGGGGGAAAAAAATAGAAAAAGAAAATGAAGAAATGAAAAAGAGTCCTATTTCTTGGATGGGACCAGTTACCAACTCCAGGAAATTACTCATCATAGAAAGGAAATAGCCCAGCACACAACTTAACAAAATAAGCAGTGTTAATCAGTGAGCTTTAGAAGTGCTGCTAGATGGAATTACCTTTGGACAGAGCCAGGCTAGCAGTTTCCCCCTTTTATCTTTTTAAGCTAAGCTTACCAGCTGCTGGCTACAGCTACATACTTACCATGTAGACATGAGAGTGGTATTAATGTTCTCATATAACTCTCTGCAAGAAAGCAAATAAGCATATACCCAAAATGTTAAACTGGTTAACTGTTAAGATTTACTCCTTCTGTATATGCTGTGTAGTATTTTTCTGTTGTGACATCCAATTATCCACTGTTCAAGCCACTAATTAATACTGATTACTTAATAAATTGTTTGGACTACAAGTACATAGACGTGTGTGCATATTGTGTGGATACTCTCTGTTCTACTGTGTAACAATGTGTCTCTTACCATTAACCCACACTTATGTTTGATCACCTTACCTGCCACACTACTGGTTCCATGTGATCAGCTGTGGTGGACAGGCAGACACTCAACACAATGGTGTGAGAGGCGGAGGTCAGGATACTGGCGACGATGGCGTCCCGCATAGAGAACGGCAGCATGGTGTAAACCACAAACACAATGAACAGGAAGAATGATACCTGTGGAGAAAGAGACACTTATGACACACCTGCAGAGGAAAGCATAAAAAAAGAGAATGGAAAGACAGCGAGAGAGATGGACGCATAAGAGAAGCAAATACAGACGGAAATAACATATCAGTGTTGACAGTCCTGTGGGGAAAGAAAGAGCAATGAACTACCAAGTCTGAAAAACGCCAACACTGCTTGCTAAAGAGAAATGCATTTATGTAGAATATATATAAATCAGGCCTGCTCAGTGAGGTATTTGATATCAAGCAACAGCCTAAATTACAAAAGGAAAAAGGTGGAAGGAACATATAGTTGTGCCATTACACATACTTCAATGTTGTCCACTAAACAGTTGACCCACTATAACATTCTTAGCGTGTTCGGCTTACCTAAGCTCCCTTGATTGCAAGGAGCAGAAGAGTGGACAATCAACTCTCACACTTCAAACCTGACACCTCTAATGCTGCATGCTACCCTTTTTACCCAAGCTCCACACAAATACGCACGCGCACACACACACACACACACACACACACACACACACCCTACACACACACACACTAAATATGCCTTCTGCTGCAGGGTTAAGTCAGCTCATCTGCTGTCGTGCATGGATAGAAAGAGGCTAGTGTTCTCACCAGTTAACCTTTCTTGGGTTATTTGCATGGCCAGTGGGAAAGCAGGGGTTAGGGTGTAGGGTGCAGCAAGATGGAAAGAGGAAAGAAAAGCACGAGGGAGGGGGAGCGACCGAAAAACGAGAAAAACAGTACCTCCTGTGTTTAAGCCTGGGTGACTAACTGCTACTTTCTTAATGGCTAAACTATGGCAGTGAATGCAAATAGTAGCAAATATCAAAGGATGGTCAGTTTATATTCAAGAAAATGCTTTATTTATGTTAAAATTCAAATTTACTCAAATGAAGACTATGTCTTCTGCATTTACAAACCTCCTGCTGCTTCACTACAGATAAAACTAGGACATATTTACTAATTAGCGTAAGCATGATCATCTCGTGCAAACTTACAATTGTTAAACAATGGTGGACATGTTAAAACAAAAACAGCTTACAGTAAAAATGTAAATACAATATTCTAAAGTTCGTATGGATCTACTCTACAGTTGACACATTGTTTTCCTGTTCATCAGCAACAGATTGAATATACTGCAGTTCTAGTGCAATAATAGCATAGTTTATGAGTCATAAATGGCTCTTTTTCAGCTACTCAATTCACAATTTATTTTTTAAAAGAACCATTAATCAAGGTTTTTCCTGCATAGATAATAGCTGGCAATTGCCAAAGTGGAAAAACTGGAAAACTGATATTTGCTGCAAAATGTGTTTTCTGATATAATTTCAACAAGGTTTTCTCATATATTGCTTTTGGTTACTATATGACAGTATGATCACAAACAGATTGTGACTGCTGGTCTTCTAAGAACAGAGGAGCAGAAGTGACATTGTGGAGGTCAGCATATTGTAACGGAAAACTTCAAACTGAAAGTTACAAAAGATGACAGTAATTTTATATTGTAAAAAGACGTTATTCAGATTTATTCAGCAACTGTAGTAAACAGGCTTTTCATTTAAAATACCAAAATATGTATGTATACCAATGCTGGCAAGTGAACAAGGGGCGTCTGTGCCGGCCCACCAACCTCAAAGCTTAATTTAGAGTCAGTGAGCATTATCAATTTTTTTTTTTTAAATTGGAAATTATAATATGATATTCAGTGCAAAACTGTGTCTATTTCATATTATCCTTCTTAGTGGGCACTGTCTGTGCCATGCAAAACACTCCTGCCTTAATCTCTCTAATGTAAGTACTGGGCACCCTAAAACTACTAAAACAATGGGATTAATGTGTGTCATACAACGGAGGCTGTCCCTGTTTATATTTCTCATGTTATCTATAACTCTAGCTTATTTCTAGAGAAGCTGAGACATTAAGCCACTCATATATAAAATTATTAAATTAGTGTAATACTGTTATGAAAATGATGGGGACATGATGCAGTACATGTTTGCACTGTTTAGCTAGTGTGGTAACCTTGTAGGACACACCACAATATTACCTATAGCAAGATGGCATGGCATGCTAAACTGTAGCTTGTTGCCAATATTGCATATTTGCATTGCTGTACACTAGCTATCACAGAAGCAGCACGCCTCTAAGCATTAAACATAAAAGCAGAATATGACAACCAAGACAACTTTTTATGTTAATGAAAAACAAAAATGAATGTACATTCAGCATTAATGATGAATTTAAATAAGTGTCTGTTTCTGATTCAGTTGGTCCGTCTTTCAAGTTTTTGAACAAATCAGCTACAACAAAAAGACACTCTAAACATGAGCCGTTCTTTTTAAGTGCAGTTTGGCTGAAATGGAGAAGATGATACCAGCCATTTCTTTAAAAACGGCACCATACCAATTGTTTTGATACATTGAGCACAATCTCAATATTAATATTTGACATTCAGTTGAATAAAGCACTTTGTATTAACAATATCATAGGACTTTGAATCTACTGTAAAGGGTAAATATTTGGTGACAGTGTTTTTTGTTCCACAGCTTCAACAATAAAGATTTTAAATAGAGTAACATTGGTTTTAAAATTAGAAAACATTAATATGAATAATGCTCAATGATCTATTTTGATTATTCTTGCTTCACTTATTATATGACTGTCCTGAACTGTCTCCCCAAAAGTAAATTCTAAAGGCTATTCTGCAGGAATGATGAAGTACTTCTTATTGTGTCTGAACATCTACAAAAAAGTTTACTGTCACAGGAGTGCATTATGTTTTGGACTAAGGCATGCTATCAAAGTCCATTCCAAACACCAACACTTTAATAATACTGTACTGAATGTCAAGAGCATGGAAAATGTTGTTTGATACATCATCACAATGAACAGTAGATTGCCACCATCTGTGACTGAGGTATTAACAATTATTCCTACCTAAAGAAAAGCATGTGACACATTTTCATGTCTAGATGAGCAGCAGATGTACTGATAGTTGCTGCTGTTATTTCCTGATGCCTTTACAGAGAAGGAAACACTTAAATTGCTTATTAAAAACGATCAACTTGTGGTAACAACAATGGTACCAATGACCTTTTTATTGAGGCAGTCCATGCTGCTGTGCAGAAAGTATAGTTGTTTTTTTATTTGATAAAATATATAGAAAAAAATATGCTATTCTTTGCTATTTCTCCATTTTTAGTTTTTCTTTCAGATAAGGTTTGATTGTAAAAAAAAATTAAAAAAATTAAAAAAAAAATCAAATTTCTTTATACTTAATGAAATACAATTACGTATGTTCTAGGACTATGATTGTGCCTCTAAAACAGACCAGATAAACATAACTGAATGCTACCAGAATTTAATTAAGTCTTTGTAGAAGTCAGGAGTGAAGCTTTAAGCTCATTGAGTATCAAAGCCTCAAGGAGCTACCATTTAGAGTTTAGTCAATATAGAGCTGAGGAGACAGACAGAATGCCACCAATAAGGATCTAACACATACTGTAATCTGGACCTTCATACAGGGAGCCCATGACTCACGCTGAATGTCTTAAATGAAAAGGATAACTATATAAATGTAATTTACTGTTTATGGGATAAAAATATTTGACATAGGTATGACACATATGAGACTCCCAAACAGGGGTTTGAAAGACAGGCACGCTAATTATGGTGCAGCCCTATTCAATTGGCGGCCCGTGGGCCAAATCCGACCACAAAGCAACCTCCATGTGGCCCAGCACATAATCTAATAAATGACAACAAAAGTAAACTACATGTATAGTGTATGGAAGTAGCTAAAGACAATATCGGCAATATCGTTTCCTTCTCATCTTTGAGTTTCACATGAGCTGTACGGCTAACCGCCAATGAAGGCTGAACATAACTGTCTGACCTGCAGCCTCTCTGATCCTGTGTGTCTCTGCTGAGTGTCTCCACTCCACATACACATTATGGACCAAATTACCAAATTTGTTGAAGATTCTATGCTTTGATCGGCAGAGCCTGATTCGTTATGATATAAATATCAACATATAATGCTGTAAATAAACATGAAAAAAGCTTTAAATAAATGTTTTTAAAGTGCGTGTATAAATCCAAATTGTAACACAAACCCTTCGGAAGTGGGATCAGTGCGCATGTGTGCGTGTAGCATGTATCTGTGTAGGGGAAGTCCCAGCTTTGACGGTGTTGTCTGCACCTTGCGGGACATTGTCATCATTTATCACCATTGATGAACCACACAAAGAATATTTTAAACAGTAGTTGAACCGCGACGTGCATGCAGTTGTCGGCCGCACGCACGCTAAACTCTGCACAAGACCAGTGAATGGCAGGCGATCAGAGAAAAAATGGTCAACAATAAGCCTCAGTTTAGAATGAAATGTAAAGTGAAAGTTACACTGACGAATAAATAGGGACTGCCCTCTGCAGCTTCTAAAGATTAAAGAGGAGCTACCATGTCCCCCCCCCCCCCACGCACGGGGAGCGAAGTCAGCCAGTTGATCAATAAAAACTTAGCGAGTAAAAGGCCAATGCCAACACACCTGTTTAATAGGCATAAACACGCAAAATGCAATGTTTTAATCTGGTCAGTCTCTCATCCACTGCAGCTAGTTCTGCTAATCGCGTTTTGTTACAATACAAACAAGCTCAAGTGAAAGCTGTCTGTCTTTAGTAACTGTTTAGCTTAGTTTGCTCCTTCATTAAAATATGGCACATTATAAACTCAGCTGGTGGCTGAGACAGACCAGCCCTCCTCTCTAGCAGCAGAGGGAGGAGGACAGGAGGGACTGAGTTGTTCATTCTTTGTAAACTTCACTCAGGATGTTGTTGTCAGGAATATGATTTATTTTACACATTATTTGACATTTCAGATTTGTTTCCTGTGAGATATTAGTGGTTTTGCTGTGGTAAATCCTGTTTCTGCTTTTGAAACTTAATTGATGACTTAATGAAATTTAGTTAATAAAAAATATTGTT